CAACCCCCAACCCCCAACCCCCAACCCCCAACCCCCAACCCCGCAGTTCCAGCCAAAGAGAAAAAAAAAAAAAAAAAAGCCTGGAATGAGAATCAGAACATCAAGATCACAATCATCTTTACTAATCTCATTTCTTTTGCCTTAAAAAACAAAGCAGCAGCCGACAGCCGACAAGGAAAACAAGGGCGAGGAGGTCTGCCGGGCAAGCCGGGCCGGCAGCCGCCGCTGCCCTCGCACCCCACACTCACAGGGACTCTGTCGGGATATTTCTTGCGGATTTTCTCCCCTTCTTTTTTCCTGTACTCGAACGGGTGGTCTTCCTTGTACTGGAACTTCATCCTGCCGGGCTGTCACCTTCCCTCCCGAGGGCTGCTGCCGTTCCCTCCCCTACGGCCGGGTACGCAGCGAGCCCCCGCAAGCGCAACGCACCGAGCCCTGCCGCGGGAGCGCACCAGCTGCTGACGGCAAATTGGGAGCTGTGACGTCACGGGGAGGCACACACGCCCCCCCGCGCCGTCACGCTGCCGCCGGGGCGGAGGCGTCTCGCTGGCTGCGGGCGGGGCTCGGGTTCACGTCAGGGTCGCGCGTGTTTGTTTGTGCCTTGATTTACTGCAATAGATAAATAGTAAAATAAATAATAACAAATTAAAAATAATGATTTATTTTTTTAGAGGCAGCAAAATAAACATACGGTTGAGCAACGCCGCAGCGTGACTCAGGGGTTATAAATATAGCATGAGCAGGCACATAATCCACCCGGGACTGCGGGGATGGGCGCCGTGCTCCTCCCTCTCTCCCGACCGGTGCCGCGGCGTGGGGCGGTGCTCCACGCGTGGGAGCGGGGCTTGTCCCCTGTGTCAGGCTTGAATGCCTTCTGCTTGCCTAAAACAGGGATAATGAGCCTGACCTATTCTTAAACTGGCTGTGAGATGTAAGACGCCAAAAATGCTACTTTTCCTGACCGTCCCTGTCGCTGTTGGATCTGGATGATTCCCCTGTTTATAACATCTCGGTTAAACAACAAGGGGCAGAAAGTGTGTCACGTAATGTGCCAGACCAGATGCACATTACAAACAGCAGACAGTTAAAGGGAACTGTCTGCAAACAAGCCAAAATAGCCGGCCAATTTTAGCCCAGTTACTCAGCTGATACATACTTGGAATATCTTTGTTTTTTTTCTAGGAGTAGTTGGGCTCGCAATTATTTACTGGCCAGCAAACGAGAAGGTATTAATAAATGGATCAGCATGCTCAAATCAGTATAAAAATTAATTGCTGCTACCCCGGGGACGGTGACTGGGAGCGTCTCAAATAAATAATTCTTTCTTTGCATGCCTCGTCCAGAGAAGCAGAACTTTCCCAAGGATGATGTTTTATCTGTGTAGTAGTTTTAGTTGTACTAGTAGAGGCTGAATGGGACAGCAGACTGCCTCGGGTGCATAAGGTGGCTCTCCAAGGTGAGAGGACCCAGGTTTCCTATATCTGGTTCAACCCTGTGCCAGTGTGTTGACTCAGAATGAAGAAGGGCAGGGAAAGACATTGTGGCTGTTCTGCTGGCACTCTGCTTCTACAGTGTGGCTAGAATGAAAAAAAACTCCAGACTATAGCAAAGAGCTTGAATCCTGAATAAACTGAAGAGCAAGCTGGATGCTCCTTAATGATAAAGCCAGGATCAGGGGAACATAAAGCCCAGGTCTTTTTCTAGAAGTATTCCTATAAATCTTTTAGGCTGCCCCAAGAAACTCCTAATACCGGCGGCTTTATCCCTATAAACTGATATGCACACTTGAGTTGCCTGCAGGGTGGGACTCATGCTGGCACCAGGGGTAGGAAGGGCCTGTTACGAATCCCCACAGCAGATCCAGGGTGTTAGCTTGTGCCCTCTGCCTCGCAGAGAGCTGTTTTCATGTACTGGCCACCATCCACCCTTGCACTCAATAGCAATAGCACACTGTTTGAACTCAGAGGCCTTTTGGCGGTGCTCCCCCTCCAAGCCCTGGTGCACTGTGATCTCTCACCTTGAACATAAGTAGGAAAGATATGGAGAAAATACATTTACTTACTTGCAGATACGCTCAGATGGTGGCAGCTCCCAGATAATCTTGCCCCTGTAAAAGGGCATGGGATAGAAATCTCACCTACACTTATAATGTAGGCATGTACAGCTGAGCCTGTCTCTTCAAACTGCCTTTGTGGTCAATGGCAATAAACAGGCACGTCGGGGTGGGATTCTTCTCACCTGAATCATGACATCTACTTCTGAATGGCCGAAGTGTGCCCCCAAGAACCCTGACAGGTGCTTTAGTGTCTAAGCTTTTACTACTTGGTATGATGTAGTGTGACCTCCTGCACAGCTCAATGGTCAGCTCCAACAGGTGCATGCCCGAATCTCTTACAGATAGAGCAGCCCATAGTGGGAATGGCATAGACTGATGTGTCCCAGCCTTCACTAGTTCACGTGCATAAGGTTCATACGGGAAGAATCATCAACTTGTTCCTCTCTGTCCTAGGACATGTGAACATTTCCCCATGGTTGCAGGTAGTGTCAGAGGATCTCAGAAGGGTGAGTCAGAAGGAAGGCGTTGTTTTTGTGCAGTGCCATAGTGACTAGCCTAGGCTGAAGGAATCTCAGGGTTTTGACCTGGGGAAAATTATGGTTTCATGGCATTGTGCCTTTCTATAATACCTGTGTTTGGCCTCCTTGCTTTCTAACTGCCTGCAGCATAGCAGTGGCTAAAGTGTATTGAAGGTCTGTAGTGATGTAGATGCCTCTTCCTCAGGGACGAAAGAGAGGAAATTTTCTAGCCTGTTTCACCTAGGCCACCAACCCATTCAGGCAGTTGTAACAGACTGATCTCCAACTCCTGTTGTCCTGCAAATCACTGCTTCCATCTCCAGGACTATATACAAGGCAACTGAGCTAGCATCTAGTTTGAATTTCTGTTGACAAATCAGAGAGGAGTTTCAGGGTTCTTCCCTGGTCTGATGTAAAGACGTGGCCTGCGAGAGCATTGCTAGGTGACTTCTCCTCCTCCAACAAATCCCACATGAGGATCACAAATCTCCTTTGTGAACTCTTCTTGCGCTGATGACGCAGCCCTGGATTTGCAGCCACAAACCTCGCTCCTCCCACTTCCCCGCTTCCTCCCCATCAGGCACTGAATTCCCAGCCCTCTCCTCCAGCTCAATAATAACAATAATGTCCCTGGCACACCAGCAGGCAGGAAGATGATACATGCAAAAGCAGTGACAAATAGCTAATCATCTGACTTAGAGTTCTTATTAAAATGTCAACCCATGGGCATGTGACAAACCCCACATTCTGGGACTGTGTGCTAGAGGGAGGAACTGGAAACGGGCTTGGCTAGTTTTCCTACCCTGGACTGCCAGCACAAAGTGGTCCACAGAGCGGCAAAACAATATGCTCTTAGTGTATTGCTGTGTCTGCAGCTCATGTAGGCAGAGTTTCACTTTAAAAGGGATTCCCCGAGCATTGCCAATGCTGTAGCCATAGAAGCAGGAGATAAAAATACTTACACAGAACCTGGGGGTAGGGTTTGCAGCCTGTGCTGTACCACACAGTGCTCCAGGGGCACTGCTAGGAGCTCTGCAGGGCACTACCGTGAAGTGAAGCTAGCTTAGCTCTACACAACTGGCTAAAATTCTGTGAATTAAGGATAAAAATACCCACTATTTGCCCTGTTTTTCTTGGAGATGTCATCTAGGTGGATGTCTTTTGGGAACCCCTGGAGCTACTGGTCAGCTGCCTATAACTCTGGATTCCCTTGGATATTTCTTTCTTAGTACCTGCCCTGGGGTACTTGTCCTATTTGTACCTCCATAGGCTGACTTTTTTTCTTTTTTTTTTAATCTTTAGTGTGGTTTCAGAATATCAAAGCCTCTCATGTCAGACAGCTTCTACTTTATAGTCTGAATGGTGATTAAACCACAGAGGGTGTACCTGAAGTCACTTGTGATACTGCTCTATTTGATGTCCATCCATGGCACATGGATAGTTCTTCAGTCCTTGCCTGGCGTCTCTCCTGCACCACTTGTGACTGGTCACCAGTTTAACTTGACACTAGATCTATAGCAGCCTCAGAGCCAGTACGGGCACACTGGCCCTTGGGGAGGACACAGGGTTAGTCACTCCCAGCAAACAATGGCTAATTGTGCAGATGTTTTCCTTTCCTCTAGGAAATGGCTCTGTACTGTCTATGCTGAACTGCCTTCTCACTGCTCTATTTTCTACGGCTTCTTATTTTTACAAAAAAGCTGCTCATTCCTCCCAAACTGATTGCATGGGCCAGGCTCAGCTCAAGTTGCTTAAATGCATACAAATGGTGTTATGAGGAGATTAAGGAAAACACCTTGTTGCAGTGTGAAAAGCAGCAGTAAAGGACAAAAACCCAGATCTGAATAACACAAGTCTGAGATCCCTTTGTTCCAGCCGATGGTTTGGAGTGGCCTGTTGGGGACGGGTATCATTGTTACTCACAGTCCTGTGAAAACAAAGGAGCAACACAACAGTGGGGTGTTTCTGAACAGCAGTCTTTCTCAAGTACCACATGTTCCAGGGGAACCTAAGGGTGGCAAGGACATCTCCTTTGCAGCACCTAGTGTCAGTGTACTGTTGTTCCCCTCACATGGTTCCAGCCCAAATTACTCCATGTGCAGGCTAAAGGTAGCCAGTGGAGACTGGTTGCTCTTTCTCCTTCGATATCACTTGTCCTATGCTTGCGCGGGTCCCACCCTTTTCCCAATGTTTGGTCAAGCGTTGAGTGAACAAGCGAGCTGAAGCCAAGCCAAGGGTCAGTGACTTGCTTATGATATAGTTATTTTCAGTACTTTGTGCATCATTTTCCCCATCTACGAATGGAATACTAAGGCTTGTCTGATGCATTAGCAGCTTGACAACATGGTTAAAGTCTGTAAAGTTCAAGGGGATCTTTGGATGCAGATACTTAATTATTCATAACTAAAGAGAATGCTTTTGATGGTATTCTTTCCCTTGTTGTGCAGGATATTGGAGTGGTCTGCAGAAAATGGGTACTCCAGTGCAGCCAACTTGACACCAGTGGCTGTACACAGCAGCTGAACAAACTCTAGAATTATTTAATGATTAACAGAAACCTTTTATTTATTTTCCAATGTATGTTATCCTGTATTTTTGAGCAGTTCATGTCCCTATTGCTCTTAAGCATGGGGAAAACAGTTGCTACTTGAATATTTGTTTAAATGTTGCATGAAAATATTAGTTCTTCATGTTTAATAATGTTTAATATTTGTATTTAATTTTCAATCTGAAAGCATAAAAGATTTCAAAGTGCTTATTGGCTGATATAATACAACACACAAAGTATATTCAAAGTCAAGACTCAACTGTGCGATGGAATCACCACTAATGGAGTAAAAAAACCAGCTGAATAACAGCAAGTTGCAGTTTATCTCTGTAAATAAGTAAACTTGCCACATTTTTATGGGGTGTGTTCCTGCTTTTTCACAAAGTACATGTGATCTTTATTGACTCTGTCCTCATTTTTTGATTGTTTGTGAGGAGAGAACCTCTTTGAATCATAACAGATCTGAGGGCGAGAGCGAAGTGTTTCCAGTCACTGACACCTGGTCTTTGCTTTCATACACAATCTTGTATGGTTAGATAGAGTGCCTGTAGATCTGCTTCTGTTTTATTTTTTGTTTGTTTTAATCTGGTGTTTTATAATGTTTTATAGGCTCTGAGTGGCTGATTCCTTGCAAGAGTTATAAATATTTTCTCTGAAATTGCTCATCGGAAGTCAGTTTAGTAGGAAACGATCCCTGAGCAAGTGAAGTTGGAATATTTTGGATGTCTTGCCAGTAAAAAAACTTGAGGGTACCTGCTCTAGCACCTAACGACTAAGAGTGAGACAAGCAAAGAAGGATGTGAGCAGATGGGAAAGGACAGGAGAGTTGGACAATGCTGGCTCTGGTCCAGGGAAATATGCTGAAATCAGCAGGTAATACCCAGCTCTGGATACGAGTGACGTGTAACTTTTCCCCTTGAAACTGAGAAAGGAGATAGCGGAGGTGATTTGATGCAGAGGAAGGGAAAACTAAGAATTTGAAAACTTCCCTTTTAATTGCACATCTTATACAAAAATTACGGTGTAATTATTAATGCAAATTATTAAAAATTGCACATGCCTGTTTTGCAAGGCAGGATTGCTGTCCTGTGGAGCAGGGCTGCCATCTCCTGTTAAATGCCCACACAGCTCCGGGCTCGTAGGCAGAAGGGAAGGGGGGGAGGCAGCGGAGGAATGGTATGTTCCCCACTGGAAACGATTGTGAAGGCTTCCAAGGAAGCTTCTGGGCTTGATAGTGCTTGACGCATGTTCAGCAGATCCAAATGTCTCTGCTTGCTTCAGGCTTTTACTGTGGGGTAAACAAGAGCCTTCCAGGAAATGTTCTGCAGCTTGGTGGAGAAGCCAGGCTTGAACTGGGCTTCAGAGAGCGGCTGATGAAATAGGTCACTCTAGCAGATGTTCCACAAACAGTTATTATTATTTCAAACATGCTGTATAGCAGAAGAGACATACCCTTATATGTCACTTATTTATTTATTCCATTCCAGTTTATCACTCATTAGTGGTACCATTAGGCAATGACTAGGCAATTCAAGACGAAGTTTGTGACCTAGGAAGTCAAGACCCTCATTAAATTCCCTTGGATACAAAATTCTTGTGGCTAAGCAAGGTCTCAAAGGTGTTTTGGTCATTCAGTTCTGCTTATCCTATCCCTGAAGGTATCTTATCAACCTTCTCTAAAATTCTCCATGGCTGTAATCTCAACAGCAGTTAGGTTCCTAAACATATCTGGGGACCTGGTCCTTGTTTTCCTTATCTACAAAATAACCATATTCTTCTGTATTTCACAGGAGCATTGTGAAGATCAGCATATGAGGGACTGAGAATTTGGTACTGCAGTAGGAAGGGCCATGCAGGCACTTCAGAACGATGTGATATCTGTGACCTGTGAATTCATACCAACATTAATATATACACAATTCATTCATGGCTGCTTATCATTTGGTGTCCTGCTTTAATGTTTTCAGTTGCTGAACTTGGGGTAGAGACAATACAGATGTAATTCAACAGTCACCTTCTCATGAGTACCTAGTCCAAGAAAACATTTTACAGATGGTCCATACCTATGTGCATCCAAACAGGTTGGTTAATATCTCTGGATGATTCAACATATTTGTATCAATCAGGAAAGACTCACAAATTATTTCCATCTGACGAATGGCTTAAATGTTTTAAATGGTCTTATTTAGTTTGATCTGCTTTTGACAGCAACATTAAGAATAATTAATAATGATACAATGTGAATGTAACTAAAATATGATTGAGCTTTATTTCAGGGGTACTGTTCCTGCTCCTTCCCTTGTTTGATCTGTTTTTGCACACATATTTTTTTAATTCAAATATAAAAGCTTGTGACTACTATTTCAGAATTGCTATAGATCGTATTCAGAACCAGACTGCATTAATTTTATTCATTCTATATATCCTGTATGGCATTTAGGGGACTATACTGCACATACTACCAATGTATGCTGTCTTTTGTTTACATGCAGATTGTGTTCCTACACGCTCTTTTTTTTGTTTTTGTTTTTTTTTTTTTTTAAATTTGCTATAAATGGTTGGCACTTTCCAAAGGTGGTATTATTTGTATTAAGACTTTCTTACATGTCTGTTTTTTCTGTTGTGAAAACCTCTCTGCCATAGCCAGGAATCTTAGGCTGGTGGCAAGCAGAATGAGACAGCATCTGCAATCTCCCTGCAGGTCACTGCTCAGCACCTTGATCCTACTGCCTGCTTATTCGTGCAAACTGTGATACTAGGGACATGTGTATGTAATAAATGGACATGGAGAATGCCAATGGCCAATTATCTCAAGGAGGTATCAAAAGGAGCCATCAAAATATGCTGAATCTAAAAATATTTGGAATTTTAGTCTCTTTTTTTCCCTTTCTCATTAGACTAAGGAAGTTAATCTAATATTCCTAACCGTGCCCAGAAGAATTAGTCTCTGCACTTAACTACTCTGTATTATTTGCCATTCAGTAAAAACAGGCGCTAGTGTCCTGGGAGGGCTGGCTGGGCATCCTTGCCCTCGGCAGAAGCGTGCAGTTTTTCCTCCGGCACTGGATCCAGGTCTGGCACTTTCTGCCCTGCTTTGGCGACTGTGAATCTGCTCATGTGCAGAGCTTCTTCATAGACTGGAGGAGTGTCTGATGCTGAGAGGGGTGGTGTTCCCTGCGCAGCGTTATGGGAGTGTGCCACTGCTAATATCCTCCTGGCAGCAGGCCCAAACACGGAATGGAGAGCTGAAAGGGAGGAGACAAAAGCTGTTTGCCTCATCCTGAAAGCACCATGCGATTAGTGGAGGACAAGTATATCTGCAGCACACAGGCTTTTCTCTCCCCACAGCCTGAATGTTTTCCTTTTCCTGCCCCTTCATCCTCCCCTAAAAGGGGTGGGGTGGGGGAGTGAAATCTCATCAGCAGCATCCCACATTTACTCCTTCCTCAAATGCCACTGAGGCCCATAGCTGCCCTAATTCCACCCAAACATGTCTCACAGCCAACTCACCATCTGGCTGCATTTGCTACATGAATCCTGGTGAGCACCTTAATTTGTACCATGTACACATGCAGCCTTCCCTGCCTCCTGCCATGAACTTCCCTCTGCCAGCCTTGGGGTGCCGCAATCTCGCCTTTTTACAGTGCAGCCCCTCACTTTGGGGTGTGCTGAGGTCCCCAGCCTCTGTTGAAGCCAACTCACAGGTAATGGTGCTCTGGAGGGTGCTGTCATGGTCAAAAGCAATGACGGTGACCTCGTAGGGCTGAGGACCTGATTCCTCCCCTGTCTGATGGCAATGAAAACAGCATTTTACGCAGATGGAAACCAGGCCACACAGGAGCAGCAGCCCACCGATCACCACCACCAGCCTGGAAAGGGAGAGGACACAGAATTAAGACAGAAAGACTTTGTTTGCAGGGGACCTTTTAAGGTCTCTCCCTGCTTGAAGTAAGTCTAACCTCAAAGCTAGACATGGTCATTTGGAGCCTTGTCCAGCAGAGTTTGGACAGCCTCCAGGGATGGAGATCCTGTGTCCCCTCCAGGCACCTGTTCCAGTGCTGCACCACCCTTGGGGGAAGCATATTTTCCTTCTGTCTAATCAGAATTTCCCTGGATGCAGCTTGGCCAGTCACCTCAGATCCTTCTACTGGGCACCTCTGAGAAGTGTCTGGCTGTCTTCTCTCTAGATCCACCTTAGGTAGTGGAAAACTGCAATTAGGCTGCCCCTCTAGCCTCCTCCAGGCTGAACAAACCTGGTCCTTTCAGCCCCTCCACATACATCATGTCCTCTGGACCCCTGACCATTTTATTTGCTCTCCAGTGGACTTGCTCCAGTTTGTCAACATGTCTTTTGTACTGGGGGACCAAAAGTGGACTAGGTATTCCAGATGTATCCTCGTAAGTGACAAGAGGAGAGGAAAAATAGTATCTCAGTCTGCTGGCTACACTCATATTAATGCAGCCTTGTAGAGGTCCAATGACTACCATCCTTTTTAATCTTATGCTGGTGAGGATTGCTAAGGAATCAGACTGAAATTACTTTAAAAAACGGCCCCATTAAAAGGCATATTGTACCATGAACGCTTTATTAATATTGTGCATCCAATTAAATTAATACATGGAATAAAGAGGAGACCAGTGGTGGCAAGTCAACATTTGTCCAAGATGATGCAATAGCTAAGGGGTTGCCTTGCTATTGTAGAGCATTAGGGGGTGCCAAGGGAAAGCGGGGGTGGCATCGCACTTGAGCAGGTCACATTTAACCCCACTCTTTGCTAATGAAATTGCCCAGAGATGCAGATATTTAAAGTAAACATATGCCATCTTACCAGATGTACCACAAACGGTCCCACTCTGTACCTGAACAGCTGGGAAGAAGGTACAAGAAATAGTTAGCCACAGAATACCAAATAAATGGGAAAATCCCTACTGTATCCTCTTCGAGCTCCCCTCACGCTCCTCACTTACAGTCCAGCTTCTAAATGGCACAATGATGAGAAACTCACTGCACTTTGTGGAGGAGACAGTTGTCCGACCTCATCAACCTTCCTGTTAGCTGAGTTCCCCTCCTGGTCGGCTTTCTCTCTTTATTGTTTCCCTGATATTTGTGCCTGCCCAATTCCATTTGCAAAACTTAGGGATCTGCATCCACATTCGTTTTGTCTTAATTTCTGTTATTCGTACAAATTACATCACCAAGAGTAATATTCACCAAAGAAGTATATTTCAAAACAATTTTTCCAGGAAAGGTCAATTCCAAATTCATAATCTCAGTCAATCAAAATTACACCAGAAAGCTCTTGATCATTACAGTTATCCAAATAGGTAGCAGGAACAGTACCACACAATCAGTTTGTTGAATAGATAGTAATTAATACACTTCACATTCGAAGCATCGGAAATTTTATGCGAGCTTTCAATAGTTGCAATTAAAGTAAGCTTTTCTGGAAAGTGTCAGTCACCGTGTCACAACACTGGTGTCCACTACTGCCTTTGTCCTTCATTGTCTTCTTAAAAGAGTGCAAGATCGACAAATACTCACAGTTCAGTGTTGAGACAGCCTTCCTCACCTCTCACTTGGGCGAGCTAGAAGGAGAAAAACAAAGAAGACATAGCTAGAGTGAATTAAGTCTTTGTCATAGGCAACTTCTATCTCTGTCACCTGGACTGTTACCAGTCTGAATCTCCTACGGTAAGGACTTACTGTTATATATCTTCCGTTCTTTCCATCGTATATTCTGCTGTAGATTTGAAGTTATTGTGATACCAACTACATTGTTTCATATCTTAACTTCCCATAGTCATTAAAATCCTACTTAGCACTGTTCCCAGCATAGACCCCGATTTACCTTCACCCTCATCACAAGTTTCCCTTTCCCCTCCACAAGCTATGTCATGCTACAGATGTAGATCCTTCTCCATGCTCCAGTATTAAAAGCCTTTAAACATCCTGCTTCATATTATACCCACACCAACTTAAATTCTGCTCTGTCCCTCCAGCACTCCTACGCATCTCATTCCTTTGCTTTGGGTACCCTGACCTCTGTGTTATCATCCCTGGAACAGCAGCAAATATTCTTCTCTTCTGTGCGTCTGCCTGTGAAATGCCAGCTCGTTCTAATATCAGGGAAATTCTTGTGACTGTCAATTGCTAACACCCCTCCATCTTTCCAAAGTCACTCCACAACTGAGCAGAGACCCCGTAAAAAGGAACCTGAGGTGTGACTTACCCCTAAGAAACACCCTAAAACAAAGCAGATCATGACTGGGCTGTGCATGCCCGTAGGGTAGTTCTGTGGCCTCTTGCTGTCTCTAGCTGCTTGATGTCTTCTTGTCCTTTCTAGTTTCAGTTCATCCTCACCAGTCTGCTGGCCAGAAGAATGAGCAGATTCCTTGTTGTGTGTTGAATCCAATCTTTTCTTCCTTCTCTACCTCTTTCTGTCCTCCTCTGGGTCTATCCTTCTTCTCTGCCCTTCAGGTTTTTGCTTTCTCTCTTTTCCTCTTTGTCACTGGCGATTCCTGTTTGTTTCTCCCTGTCTCCTTTTGTTATTCTCGTGGCCTGCCTCTCTCCTCTTTTGAAGGGATCTCTAAAGCCTTCCAGTCAGATCAGGAGAAAAGCGGTGGCTGCAAGTTCTTACTCTAGATGTTGAACTAGTTCAGTGAAGGGCATCATGAGATCTCTGCCGACCTGACCCTTCCCTTCTGTGAGCAGAAAGGGTCTCTGAGTTTGTTCATTCCCAATTATTCCTCTCCCCGCCCCTGCCCTGAGGGGAGTGGGTTGAAGGTCATGTTATTGACCTGTTTAAACGGAGTTCAGGTTGCTCTCCCTCCTCCAGTACCTTTTCTGTCCCTGCATGCACATTGTCCAACCTCTGTGGATCCAATCTATTGACTTTAGCCATATGATCAACATCCAGAGTGTATGTTACAAGCAAGATGTTCTTGCTGAAGTTTGCAATATAATAATTATATACAGCATTTTATATATTTATAGTTATATGTATATGTGTATGTATATATGTATAGTTATGTGTATATGAATGCAACATATATATACACATACATGTATGCATATGCATGTCTATATATACACATATGCAACACCTCTTGTGTCATCCATTTTAAGGCTCTGCCAGCATCCCTCTTACCTGGTAGTCTCCTGCTCTGTCAGTCCCGTCACTGACAATCTGCTCACTCACAGGTCCCACTCCTGAACTTCCTGCATGGCCAGCCAAGTCCCCCCAAATACTTTGCATCGCAGGGAATATATGTTTTATTCTGCTATCCTGGATACTATTTGTCCTGCAGCTGGTTAAATTAGTAGGTTCCATTCAACGACCCATTAATTTTCTCTCTCTTGTAGAACTGCTTTAGATTTCTGTTACTGCTTGTGGCTATTCAGAGTGTTATTACATGCATGTAATTGTGTTCACCTTCTCTTTCTCTTTTGAATAGCTGAGAGAGAAAAAAATGCTCTGCAGTAATGTGTTACTATTTGTGTTTGGGAACCACCTGGGACCGAATCATAAATATATGTTAAGGGCAGGAGAGCAACTAGAGAAACTTGTTGCCCCATGTTGCAATCACAATGCATTCGCATTAAACTGGTGAATCATTAGCCTTGGTGATGCATATTAGTGTTGTAGAGCAGAACCAGTGGATTAATGAACATAATGTATTCTCCCAAGGCAGTCTAAAAACCATTTACCATTCTCTAAAAGTAGTGGTGCAGTATAAACATGCCTTAGAATGCACTTCTTTATGTATTTATCTGTCTATCTATGTATCTATCTATCTAAACTAGTCTGCTACTGGAAGAAGGTTTCTGAGTCCTGGTGGACAAATAAGAAACATAGAAACATGAGCTATTGGCTTTGTATTTACATGGGAATTGCCCAATATTCTTTTTGTCTCTCCTTAAATTCTTTTGTGTATTACAGGAGTTTTAGAAGAAAAGACTCAGCAGAATTGTAAAATAGCCTTTCTTGTATGTATAACTTTTAAAACTGGTGGGATTCAATATGGAAAAGAAGTGCAAATTACCAATGTTTTTCAGGGGCTTTTTATTATCAGTGTGATAATTCTATAGATTATCATCACTTGATTTTTAACTGAACTTCAGTTTCATGAGAATTTCAAATTCTAGAATGATCAAACTGGAGAAATATCAGATAAATTAATTTAAAAATTCTCTAAAGAAAAAGCAGTAGTGTGATATGAAACAGTGACCCCTCCAAAAGCCTATCATTAGTCATTCTTGCTGAAACTTATTGTTCATTCTTTTTCTGTTTCTACGGCATTGTCATTAATACTGTGCTTCTAGTAATCCACCTATGGCCCTGCTAGCCTACCATCCAACAATGGTTTAAGTTTCTCCACATTCCCCTGGTATTTTGTCTCAATTATCTCAATATTTTATTTTTCTTTGTTTTATGTTAGATTGAAGTGACTTTTCTCTTTCATATTTCCCCCTTGCCACCTTTCAAAAGATTTTAAAAATGTGATCAGACTCTTACAGAACTGCTAAAACAAAGATATCCCATCATTGACTTTTCACTGCCATTGTTTAAAATCTAAGAGTCCATTCCATAGTAAGCTATGTCATTTGAACACACCCTTCCTTGGATACCAGAGAAAGCAGATTGTGGTATGGACAGGAAATACTCCTGTCCTCTCTGCTTCTCTGTTCTGGTTGTATCAAGGGATGCAACTCAAGCCAACGTTTATTTCCTAGGTAGCATGATCTTAACTGGGAGTAAAGCTTCTTAAAGAGCTGAAAAAAATGCTGTTGTAGTGCTCTTAGAAGTTGTTGAGAAATTCCTGCTTGTTCCCTATTGCTCTTCAAAGGAGTATTTTGCTAGAGCCAACTTGGTTAGTCGTACCCAATACTTCCCCATAAGCATTTAGAAATGTAAAATATGGGAACACATTTGGGGCTCACAAGGATCCCTGATACTTTTGCAGATGTAGTGAGACATTATCAAAGCTTTCATGTATTTTACACTGGATGATGATAATCCAAAAGGGCTCCATTGCTTGTAAAACAAAACCAGATCATTATTGAACAAACTGCACATAAAGAAGGAGAACACTTCCCTCCCACATTTCATACTCTTTCCGCTGAAGACATAAGGGTTGTTACCTCCTTTTGACAGAGAATGTGACAGAGGGTTCAAAAGCAGCAGCTCATTGGAGATAACGTAAGACAATCCTGTAAATTAACATGTATTAGTCTATATGTATCTGCCAAATGCTGGAGTCCAAGTCACTGCTCTCAATTTTTGTGCTGTAAGATAAAAGTCTGGGAATGCCTTCTTCCCTGTACTCAGGGAGCTTTGATCTCCAGCAGCCTGGGTTGGCAGAAGCTGGGAAAGCCCTTGGTGAGGGAGGGTAGTATTCTGTGCTACCTGGTGCTCATCCTTGTTCCCGAGTTAAGAGCTGGTGACACCAGCAGTTCTTGGGCTGCGTGCAGTAGAGCCAGATGTAATAAAACTGAAAGTTCAGATCTCATTCCTGACATTTCACCAGCAGACCTAGAAATACCAGGCAATGTAGGACCAGTTAAGTTTCTCCATCTTATTCCTGGTGCTCAAAGTTCAAGAGAGCATGGTGCAGGCACTCAAGCTGACAGGTGACCCCTCATTGGATGCAGTGGGCAGCCCTAGAGCAATGGCATGCTGCTGTGCTCTGTTAATCCCTGCTAAAAGGAAGGGATTATCACATGTGACTTTGTCTGGACTGCTTCCAGGCCAGAGCTAGTCCAGGAGCACAGCATCATACTCTGGTACATGAATTTTCTACCCAGACTCCCCATTAGTTCAGCAGATTTCTTTGGCTCATTCCCTTTTACATTGCGGACATACTTGGAATGGCAGGTGGCAAACCTGGATTCATTTCTTTGTGTCCTAGGAATGGGCAATGGCTGTGACAAATCTATGTGCTACTCCATCAGGACAAGCACGATGTGCTTACAAGCAATAAGCAAAGGCAATCAGTATGTTTCTCACTTTGTTTTACCTCCAGTCCTCCTGTGCCACTTGAGAGATTGAGGAGCCCGTCTGGCTGAATTTACTGAATATTAATCACTGTATAATAAAGCCAGAAAACAAACCCCCCTGATGCTGAAAAACTTCAAGGAATTGTTTAGATTTAATCCAAAATTAATGTAATTTCCTCTTCACCTCTCCCCTTCGTTCTTTTTCTTTCTAAAGAAAGGATGTACGCCCAAAATGAATGACTCTATGCATCCGTTCTAGGAACTAAGAACTGCGAGATTTCCGTGCCCCATTGCATTTTTGCACACACAGAAGAGTTAAATACTATTCTGGGACTCTGCTGCATGTAAACAACCCCCACCACCACTGTGTCATGAAATCCTTTAGTATGAGCCAAAAAAACCCTTCTGACTTTTGGATGAATCACTCCGTCAGCTCCCAGTGACACTGACCATTCCTTTGATCCCAGCCAGAACCTTATGCCTGTTTCTCCTGTGGGAGCAACCCAACTTTTGAATTCTCCTATAACCTTGCCAGAAATGACAAGTGAAGAAGTGACATACGCAGACCTGAGGTTCATGACACCAGAAAAATCCCAGGACCAGGAGCTCCGGACTGCCAGAGTGAAAGGTAGTGGTGGTGTTGGGGGGCAGTTCTCTCCAAGGAAAACTCTTACCTTGGAGAACATTTTTTATGTGACACTCAGAGGAGGATGCCACCTGCATATTGCGTCTTAGCTTCTGTGAGCCCTTTGGACTCAAATCTTCTAGGAAATTGGAGGGACAGAAAAAGAGCAGGAGATTAAGAAAAATGGAAGGTTGGAGAATGTGGAAAAACTGTTTAGATTTGAGAGGAGAGATATAATTAAGTTTGTGGGATGCAGTTAAGTAAAAATAAACACGTTCCAGTTAGACATTAAGTGTCAGCTCCTGGAAGTTAGTGAAGTAATCTGGCTAAGGGACCTTGCAAAAGTCTTTCAGCTTTACTCATTTAAATCTGACTAATTGAATGAAGTAAATGCTAGAGAAAAGATACATTTTCTCTCAAGAGAAGGAATAGATGGACAAGTGTAGTAAAGATAAGGGCTGGCAACTGGAAGATCACGCGCTGTACGGAAAGAGTTAAGGGTCGACCCTCCCTTGTCTCCGCCCCTTATAACATGACACGCCTGCTGCTGGGGGTATAAAGCCCGGGTCAGCTGGAGATCCGGGGGGGGGATAACCTTGATATGTAATGAACGCTACAGACAAGTACCTTTTTGTACTTAAAAATCATAAAAATTATGCTACATTTGCTTCACAGAGGAAGAGAGGAATGTGACTGATCCCAAATCTATAGTCTTTATGCTATGCATTAGTGCTTTGGAATTGCTCTGTATGCAAGGTAGTAGCAAAGCAAAGAGATGTTATGTTCCAGCCTGGCTAAATGTCTGGAGATGAATTTGATAATAATCTAGTAGATTAAAGAGCTCTTTCTGAAGGAAATTTCCCCTTATTGGCTAGCCAGCGATTATCTCATTCTCACTTTTTGAGGGGTCGTTGAGTTTTATACTTGGAGGCTGAAGGTGAACTCCCGGTGATCTAGGGTTCTTCGTAACTGTTTGGTTAAAGGGTTAGGGAACACAGGGAATAAAAGGCAGACCTACCACAGGTTGGTATGCCAGTTATTTCTGTTGGCAACTTAAACATAATATTAGTATTCCCACTGAAATTTTGTACTGGAGTCTAGTAAAAAAACACAAAAGTCATAAATTGGAAGCAATCCTTTCCTCTGTCTTTTGGGACTGTGTAAATTCACATGGGTGTTTGCATTTGCCCACATTGCAAGAATGGGTGTGTGCATTTCCAAGTGTGAGACTGTTTTTGTGCAACTGCAGGTATGTGGTCTTGTTCACATCTGTATGCCCTAGTTTCAGATTATTTTGCAGGTGCCTGGCTTTCATTGGTGACTGTTTCTGAGGTTATTTTCTGACAAGGTGAATTCATTCCCAATTTGGTAGGTTAGGCACTGAAAAGTAAAAACACCCCAGTATCTGGCTGCATATGAAAATTTCAGCCATGTTGTAAGCACAAATACTTCCTTGCTGTTCTTTTCCCACATGTGAAATTCTGTGCTATTCAGTTTTATTTGTCCAATTCATTTTCTCTTAAAAGCTCCTGGCTAAGCTAGTCTCCATGGCTTGCTCATTCCCCAGCCCCCAACTCCTAAGAAGGACTGGCCATGGCCAAACGATGGAACAATTTTCATAATGTAATACCATATGCTGGTCTGAAACTCAGCAATTCACTGGGCAGACTACTGGTCACCTTGTCTTGTGCAATGTAGGAGCTGCAGATATAAAGATGAGCAGTTCCTGTTCTTGCTGCTTTCCTTCTTTTTGTCTATTGCAGATTCCCTCAGTCCATCTTCCTATTGGCGACTGGCTACAGTGGCACTTGGGGTCTTCTGCCTAAGTTCAGTGGCAGCTGCAGGAGTCTTGGCTGCCAGGTGTAAGTATGGTCACAGAAGGGGTGCTCAGAGTTCAGTATGAACAACTAAAAGTCTGGGACATTAGTTAAGGAAAAGGATTAGCCTAGGGGATTAATGATACAAAAAAGTGTCCCTTGCTGGAAGAGTTTACCTGCTCAAGAGATCTCCCAATCTTTGAAACTGGGATGTATTACGTCTTGCTCATAGATGTGCACAAACTGTATGTAGGTCAAGTATATTCAGTCATGGGGAGGTACGTGTGTCTTTGGTAAGTTTATTCAGGTTGCATTGAGCAGTTTAGCTTTAATATTAATGGAACAATTTCATTCTTGTTTCACTGTGATTCAAGTCATCCTGGTCTGCCACCTTGTACATGAAAGGGATGAAAACTTCACCCTGCAAAAGGCAATTATGGAAAGCCTCAACCAGCAGCTGGAGCTCCTCCAGGCTCAGAATTTGAACTTGACAGAGACTGTAAAGCAACTTGCCACCTCCAGAGGTACATAGTGATGGGAAGATTGTGGTTCCATCGCATTGTGGTAGCCACAGATGGATTTTTTTTTTCTGTTATCTGTATTGGAAGTAAAAAAATCAAGATCTCTAAAATTACCCTCAATTATTTAATTTAAAAATGAATTTTGACTGAGTCAATCAAAAGGCTACATTTCCATTTTGATCATTTTTTAAGTATCAGTCTTTCTGAAGTATCTTTATTGAATTTTTGTGATGGAGCTGGTTTATACCCTATAACAAACATTTTAATTCAGAAAATACCATGATGATGACACTTAAAAAAAAAATGTTTCTAATAGGTAAATTCATTGATGCTACCATTCCTTCTTTTATAGTCAGTTTCAGTGAATTATAATAAAAAAATTTTGATGGAAAATTCCTACTGGCTTTAATTGTCTGGAATGCTTTGACTCCTCAAGATGGCTTCATTCTGTTATGCAGGAGTGAATGCAGAAGTGTAAATACTGCTGCTCTCTACCAAATGGGACTGTAATCACTGGCTTTAACAGTTTACAGACAATATGCTGAGAGTATTTTTTCTCCTTGTGCAAAATAATGGTGTGAAACTTTAATGATGGGTGAGTTGAATATGCTAGATTATCATATGGCAGAGGGAAGAGAATCATAATAAACTAAAATCTTATGAGAGAGTGGCAAGGTTGTTATCTATGTAAATGTCTGCATTTGAATTTAGCACAAACCAGAAGCTCCTCGTAAGAGTCAAGGGCACCGTGCTGTGCTATCTATTGCCATCCAGCATCAAGTGCTGTCATTCCCAGCTGGCACTGGCTTGTTATAATATAAAATGGTGCTGTGAACTGTAGAGCAACAAACATGATTCACTCTATAGTTGGGACCCGGTTCCCAGAGATCTCCAAAATATTTTGTCTGGCAGGTCTTTTTGGTGCTTGCGATTATTTCAGTTTCCACCTAGAAATGGAGTTTCCCAAAAGGTGTAAAAATGAAAGAAAAATCCAACATTTTGAGTTCTTTCTTGCTTCAGTATTACTCAGGGTCCCAAGAGGTATCTAACAGAATAATGTGGCAGAAAGAGTCAAACTGCAGCTGCCAGAAAGGTATTTCTTTAAGAGCAATGGGCTCGTTATCTTTCACTTTGGCTGGCCATCACTATCTGACTCCTGCACACTGCATCCACAGCAAGTATGAAATGCTACCAGAGAAGTTTAAGTATAAATTACCTGGTAAAGCATATAGCAGGGAAGAGCTAGCCCTGATGTTGTTAACAAGGAGCTAAAAGTAAGTTCACATGAATAGAGATGTACCCATATGACTGAAAGTCTATGTTTCCCTTTACGTCCACCTAGACCCATGTCTTTGTGAACATGGCTCAACCTTCCAAAATTTCTTCTATTTGCGTTTTACTAGCACTCTCCAGGTTTGCTGGTCAGATTGAAAAAATCTTTATTATTTGTTTTTCTGAGTTTCATTTAGAAATGTTTTTCCTGGTCTTTTGGCAACTGGGTTTATTAAGTCTCCAATGAAGACATGAATTTAGCTGCAGAATGGAGGAGGAATTGTTGCTCCTCTGTGATAGAGAGGCTGTGCACTGCTCTAGTGATCCTGCAGGGATCCACTAGACCACAAGAGACTGTTGTCACTGACAAACTTGATCAGGTGCTCTTTTGTTTTCAAGGACATAAATGTATTCCTTGTCCTGAGAACTGGCTACAGTATGGGGAGAACTGCTACCACTTTTCAAAGGAATGGAAAACTTGGCAAGAAAGCAAGGCTCAATGCTCTGCTCTGGATTCCAGACTTCTTAAGATAGAGAGTAAGGAAGAGCTGGTAAAGATTATTTTTTTCTCTCTCTCTAATTATACACTCTACATTTTACTGTGGCCTGAACAGCCATGCCATCCTTCCACTGGTGCAGTATGCTATGGCTTGTGTGTGCTGGACCTAGTGGCAAAAACTGTCCATGCTTCTTCGGAGCCCCTCTAGCTGTACTGTGGCTGCACCCTCCCTGGTGCATCTCTGCTGACTTCAAGGGAGTTAACTGAGACACACCAGCTTGATTCTACATCTAGATCCTCATCCCACCTCAGGGCAAATATAACTTAGCTAGTACTGGTTGGCAACTCTTTTGTTGTCTTGCTGGAGCAAACTATTTAGCAAACATCAGAAGCCTGGCCTTCAGCTTGTTGCTGTCCACAACTAGAAAGCTCACCAGCCTGGCCTGATCCCTGGCCTCTTTTCCCACATGAGCAGAAGAGGATCCATATCTTTTTCCGATGTCTAAGTTGTAGATGAAGCAGCAGATAAAGCACAGCCAGAAGAGCTCTTCACTGTGAAGGAACTTCTACCCAGACCCTTAATGGCAATGGGATTGTCTTGAACTCTGTGGTTTTATCGTCTGTGTTTTGAATTTCCTGCGTACAATGATAGCAAATGATGCAAAGGCCTTTTCCTGCCTGACTTATGCAACCAGGGTGTTGGAAGGAAGTCATTATCCTATACCCATTACCCAGCTAATGTGCAGGCTTTGGTTATCTCAACTGAAGATTGTCCTTTTAGCTGAGAGCTACTGAAAGCTCTCAGCAGGTTCATTTTCCTTATCTCCAAAACAGTACTGACGGCCAGGAGTAGGAGTCACTGCCCAGATTCACTTGCAAAACAAAGTCTGTTACGCACAGTTGTGAGCAGCTTGCTTTCATTTGCCTCTCTCGTTTTCCAAATCATAGGCCGTTATGACTGAAGCAGGGATGTGATTCACAGGCTTTACATTTTTTTCCGTACAGGACTTCGCAATGCGATCAGCACAGTCTTACAGTTCTTACTCTTTCTGGATTGGGCTATCTCGCGATGGAGCTGAGGGGCCCTGGCTGTGGGAGGATGGATCAGCTTTCTCCCCTGATCTGTAAGTCACTGCACAGATAGGAACAGACCACGTCCAGGTGTATTTGTTATGAGCCAGAAGCAGCAACCTTTAACCACCACTCAGTAATTGCCTGTGCCCCCACCTGCTTGCCAGCAGACAGGTTACCCATCACTCGCTTATCAACCTAGGCAAGCCCCCATCAGAGTGCTTGTATGCTTTTGTGGGTCAAATGGGTAGCACCAGCTGGGAATTATTGTATCAGCCTGTGACTTTTTCCATGGGATGATGAATATCTCTGCTATTTTTTCACAGGTTTCAGATCCAACGAGCCAGCTCAAGTCCTTTCCTAGATTGTGTGTGGCTTCAAGGTGCAAACATAGACACTGCACGGTGTGGCGAGTACAAATTTTACATTTGTGAGAAAGTGGTGAATCCTGCAGTGGTTGAGCAACTGAGCTACTCGGACAGGCACTAGTGTGCAGAGCTCTGCAGAGAGCCCTGTCCTGGGATACACCGTCATGGGGGCGAGTTCTGCCCCAGGGTTTGCAATAGGGAAAATGAGTCTGAGCTCAGGTTAATGTAACATCAGTGATAATCTAAGCTTAACTTGCTGTCTGGTGTTGCACATCAGCCAGACTCCTTGGGCTTTTTCTTTAACAACAACTTAATTCCCTCTTTCTTCTTTCAGCCCTTGCACTCTTGTGTAACCACTTCTATCCACTTCTCATAAATTCCTTTCTAATTGAAACAAAATTAAGTATGTGATTCCCAGAACTCTGTTTTAAAGATTCATACCTATCTCCCAGAAACAGGAATCAATGGCGGTTTGTAAGAACAACACATCATGTTTTCAAAATCCATCCATTGGGTATTCACAGATGTGAGCTCCCAATTTACAATAAATTCCCAAATATTTTATTTAATTTCACCCCCCAACTACTGATAACTAGAAAGTGCAACAGAATCAGAGTCTGCATTAAAAGATAAATGAAAGTATTTATAGTTCTCCTGGTTAGAGAGAAAAACTGTCAAATGGGATTGTATGCCCTATGGGCTCAAAAAACAGAAGGCAAATACAGAACACATCTTTATTGAGGAAAGTCAGCAATATTTAATGCCCAGGAATGCGAGTCCAGCTGCTAGTGGATTGTTCTGCTGCTTTGGGTGTTGGGGGGAAGGTGCATTCCTCTAAGACATCTGTCTTGATAATTATCCATGTCACATCTGATCCAGTTCTTTGATTTCTCAAATCCATTTTCCATTCTGTTGCAGAATTTCACAACTGGAATAAATATTGCTGCTACTGACCTTTCCTGTAGTGTGTCTTTTTAGTAAGTCACAGTGCACAGTAGGCTCAACAACCATCAAATACAGGGCCTTTAATGATGCAAAGCCTCCTGCTGCTTCGCTGCTGTTTAGGAGGCTGTTCAAAGAGAAGACTGCATCAGAGAGAGTGTCTCTCTTCTACAACACTATCAAACAATAGAGATCTTTGAAATCTCTCAGGAACAGTCAGGTTTATCTTTAGGACTTTTGTTCCTGTGTGTATTGTGCACTAATTTGAGTCATTCAATGAAAATTGAACTGTAAGTCAGGGAAGGTGGAGGTATTCAGGAAAGCCTCTAATTATGTTTATTATTTCAGACATAAAGCTGTGCATCAGAAGTCTGCAGTAGCAACAGCCAACAAGTGTGCTGTATCCCTCCTAAATGAGTGTTTAGCAATATGGCAATTATCTTAATTATGGATATGAAGAAGCAATTTAGAAGAGCAGAGACAACAGAGGGTGTCTTGCCACACAGCTATCTCATAGTCCGGAAATGCTGCATTTTCTAAGTCTAACCATGAGGCCTCAGCAGCTGCAGATATACTACCTGGGATCCCAGCACTGACTGGTCTACAGGGGATGCAGGTACCATGTGAATGACAGGAGGGGTAACCCATACAGGGCTGTTGTTCTAACACATGCAGGGCAGATGGGAGGCCCTATCTTGTAACCCTTGGTAATACAAGAAGGTTTTAAAGATCACACCACAAGGAGAGCCCTCACTGAGGGGGCTGGTATGAGGAGGAGCTGCTGAAGAGGTGAAGCAGTGAGTGAAACTGATGCGAGGGAACTGGTGTGATGGGCATGGGGTCAGTGGACCAGTGAGGGGAGCAATGGTTGATTGTAAGGGCCTGGCTGAGGGAAAAGTGTTGCATGTGAAAAGCACTGGCATTATGGACTGTTGCTGGGAGTGAAATGCTGCAGAAAATGAAGGAAGGAAATGTTGAATGAAAGTCTGCTGTTCTGTACTGCCTTTGGGAGGAGAATCCACTAGCCTGTCTTGTCCCCCTGTCCAGGGCATGAAGCATTGGTCCCCATGCCTGGCTGCTGAATATTCATAAGCTCAGGAACTTATAAAACAAGGGGTAAGTTCCTGGTCCTCATTGTTGTCTGGATTTTTTCATTTTATACCACATCTTCCTGCCTCAATGACTCATAATTATAACCGCTACATGACAAGCCAAGTTGCACAGAATAGAAGAGCACATGGCATCCAGTAATTGCCCTGAGATGTGTAGTGTACAACCTGTTACTGTGTGTGTTTGAGTAATACCTAACCCTGAATTTCCTTGATATGTAGTAAACCAGTTCTTGTATTTCAGCTTAAACCAGGAGGGAAAAATTTAGCCTTATATGTAAGATAATCACTGAAGTCACAATACAATAATCATTTTAACAACTGTCATATCTTTTCCTATATGAGGTTAAAATGTTCAGAACTTTAAAGCAATTCAGAACTAAGCAATTTCATGCACGTATCTTCTGCACTTTACCCTTTCCCATAGCCACCTACACACATCAGGCCATCTTCTAAATCACTCTATGCGTTCTTCATGCAATTCTTCTTAACTCTCTGTGAAATGTCCTCTTTAGAAATCTTTCTCAGATTGCCCAGGGTCACAGGAGTTAATTAGTTGGCTCACGGGAGTCTGTTCTGTGCTGCTGAGTAAAGGGAATATTCTCGGTAAGCAATGAGTTAGAGAAACAGTCTTTCCGCTTAGCTTTCCAAGTCATGCTAACCATTGCATTCTGCACAGCTACCCTTGAAGTCTGGTCCTTCAAAATTACCACAACTTCAATGTTAATTTGTCTTAAGAGCGATGCCATCTCTGCTGTCATTTGGCTGCAGAAAGCATTTAAAACTGACAAAGTTCAAAAGGCAGCATGCAATCATACCTTTAATTGAATGAACTGAGTCATTTCAAGTCATATAATGCTCAGAGGCAAACCTTTAGGTTTTGTTGCACACCGAAAAAGGCAAAGAGTGAAATTTTTTTTTTGATAGCCACTACTAGATTAGTAATTAGTTTCTGTCTGTTGTTGCCATAAGGTTTTATTAGCACAGCCAGTTCTGTATTCTTGATGTTATGTTGTTCACAGTGATAAAAAAAAATCTTGAGTCTATAATTACCCTTTTCAGTTCAATACAACGTCCATTAAAATCAGAGTATAAGCATTGTACCCATGCCACATTGTTACAAAACAAGCTTTCAGCTCACAAACCACTCTCAGTGCTTCTTGGCAAATAATTTCCCTACTGTTCCAAGAATGAGTATTCGTCTCAATAGAACTACCAAACTCATGAATGTTTTTCTTCATAACACCTATGTGTTTTAAAGACAAATTGTTCTGCTCAGTTAGTTTTCTTATATTGCTTTCAGTTGCTTCATATTGACATATAGCTGCACAGGTAGCTCATTTCTTGGCAAAGCTCAGAGATGCAACCTTGAATGGAGTGTCACAGCTTTACTTTTTAATGAGTTTTCTTCTCTGCATTGTCATGCTCTTTACCCTTGTTGGCAAACAGTCAGTAAACCACCTGTGTCATAAAAACAAACAAATCCAAATGGGGAAGAATGTTCTTGCAGCAAGATCCCAATACTCATAAATAGCAGAGAAAATAGATGCATCTATGATTTCATGTGGAGACAGAAGCTGCTGTCTTTAAACAGCAGGCCTTGAAAAATATACTGTCATTTTTCAAGTTGCACAGCCACATGATATATGGAAAATGCTGCTAAATCACCTCTGCTAAGGACTGCTGAGAGAACAAGGAAGCAAGGAAAGAAGCACAGTGATTTACTGAATATATCACAGTAAATGCAGCTGCATATTGGGTGCTCTGAGTGAAATATTTAAGTTTTCTGAGGTTTTCAGTTTTGTTTAAAATGAGTGTTCATGTCCTAGACCTAAAATCAAAATCAAAGCCATGAGAGATGATAGTCAAGAGAGTTTTTTCCTGTGCACTTGGAGTTCTGCAGACAGAGTCAGGATTTTGGGAACCTGCATTTAAACCTATACATTCAAGCTTGTTTAGTCTAATCTTTGCCCTCTCTCTAGTCTTTGATTCTCTTTCCACCACCATCTCATCCCTAACCCTCTTGGATAAAAGCACTATTTTTAATGCTTAAAAAAAGAAGTAAAAAAGGAAATGTTACTCATCCTCCAGTTCTCTGGTTAGAGTCACATGGGGATTTCTCCTTTTGCTAAATTAAGATTCCTATCCTGTAAATTTAGAAAAAAGAAACTTGTGATTTTACATTTGAAAACTAAAATGCAGAGCTTGTCTAAATGCTTCCAGAGAAGTCTATTTCTATTTCTGTTTCAGAAATTCAGAGTCAGTGGTTTGCAGTCACACATATGCCTGCTACCCTGAAAACTTACCTACCCTCCCTGCTCCTCACCATTCTGGATGCCCACCAGGAAACGGAGCAAGAAGAAATGCTCACTCTTAGAGTGAGAAATGCTCACTCTTAGCATAGAAGATCCAATGTTGACCTCTGGGGTACACCACTAGTGACTGGCCTCCAGCTGTAGACTTCATGCCACTGATTACCACCCTCTGGGTCCATCCATTTAGCCAGTTTTCAATCCACCTCACCATCTGCTTATCCAGCCTCTACATCAATAGCTTCTCTATAAGGACCTTATGGGAGAAAGTGTTGAAAGCCTTACTGAAGTCTAGGTAGACAATATTTACTGTTCTCTCCCTGTCTACCAAGCCAATCATCTCTTCCCCTTGGTGAATCCACGCTGGCTATTCCAAATCACCTTCTTGTGCTTCTTGTGTCTGGAAATGGTTTCCAAGATTAGTTGCTCCATCAGCTTCTTAGGTATTGAGGTGAGGCTGACCAGCCTGTAGTTTCCTGGGTCCTCCTTCCTGCCCTTATTGAAGCTAGGAGTGACATTTGCTTTCCTCCAAGTCCTCAGGCACTTCTCCCAGTTGCCATGATTAATCAAAGACTATCGAGAGTGGCCTTGCAGTGACATCTGCCAGCTCCCTCAGCACTCGTGGGTGCATCCCATCAGGGCCCATGGACTTTTGCATGTCCAGCTTGCTTAAGTATTCCCTGACCTGGTCCTCTTCCACCATGGATACAACTTCCTTGCTCCAGACTTTTCCCTGGTCTTTAGGACCTGGGATACCTGAAGGCCGGTCTTGCTAGTAAAGACTGAGGCAAAGAAGGCATTCAGTACCTCAGCCTTTTCCAGGTCCTATGTCACCAGGTCTCTGGTCTCATTCAGCAGTGGGCCCACATTTTCCGTAGTCTTCCTTTTGTCACCTATGTACTAGTAGAAGCCCTCCTTGTTGCCTTTGACACCTCTCACCAGATTCAATTCCTTTTGGGCTTTGCTTTCATACCTGCATGCGCAGACAGTGTCTCTGTGTTCCTTCCAGGTTATCTGTCCCTGCTTCCACCCTCTGTATGCTTCCTATTTGTGTTTAAGTTTTGCCAAGATCAGTTTGTTCATCCACATAGGCCTCGTGGCC